GAATAGTTCGTACAGTGGACGAAAATATCGCCGTCATATCTACCTAATAGAAATTGCTGTCTTTTCGGTCTTTCTAACATAATATATAAGACAAACAAACAAAATACCTTTAAAATCGATTTTAGAGACAAAACACTAAAGTATTATAACATTTTTAGACGAAATTATGTTAAAATTATTTTGAATATTTTTCTTTTGGCAAAATGAATTTGCAGTATAAAAATTATATATTATGTAAATAAACAGTAAAATACGCACTTTACGCATCTTTGGTTTATAAAATATTTAAAAATTATCAAAATACAGGGATACAGTGTGACACGGTAGATTTAGAAAAGATTAATGATAATTAGATAATGTACTTCATAATATTAAATTGACTTCCAAGTTTCATACAATTGTATGAAATAATTATTAAGGGAGTAAAAATGTATAGGAAAATTGAATTTTTCATGTACAAAAACGTTATCATTTTAAATTCCGAGTGGAGCGAAGAAGCTTATGGTTTTTGCAATGATATTTATTCATTTCTTTTATCTGTAAACATTTTTTCAACCAGAAATATTGCTTCGATTTACAAGCATAGCACTTTTTCCGAAAGAAAATCTAACTGGGAGTATTTTAGGAAGTCATTTTTTGATTTTCCTGGGAGTTTTCTTAAAAGTGGAAAAAAACGGAGGAAAAACGGAAATATGTACGAAATGTAAGTATCATTAAAACAAAAAATACGGCTTTTTTTCCTATGAATAGCTTTTCTACCAACAATTTTGCTCTGACTTACAATGATAGCACATTTTCTGAAAAGAAATCTGACTAAGGTGGTACTTTAGAGTGGTCATTTGATTTACCAAGGAGTTTTTCTAATAAATGAGAAAAACCGGAAAAAACATCGGAAAACCGATATATATATACATATTAATAATATATATAGTTCTATACTTATATATATATATATTAATATATACTGTACATACAAATATATAATACATATGTAATAATTTTACCATAATATGACATACCAATACGTATATTGTTGACAAAGCAAAACTATCAATTGAACTCTGCTCAGAATCGTTTTTCGTTAGTGATGTTTAATCGTTGCTTACGGATATGCATTAAATTTTCGTCCGTATCCTATCTACCTAACTTTCTACCTACAACAGTGGCCCACCTAAAAGTTTGTCCGTCTTTTTTTTCATGTTAGGTACACGTTTTTACTCCCTGGTATATAGACGTAACTATTGTACGTACCATATTAATATATAATGTATTTCGAATAAAAACATTCAAAACACGTGTATATTATAAGTATTATAATAATATAATTATTGAACATATTTTATCGTGACCAGAATTTATTATTAGGTATGGTATCTCTATAGTACCACACATACATGCACACACGATATTATTCGTCTACACCGATACTTGGCCATCATTTAAAAAAAAAAGAAAAATGTTTTAATAATAAACATTGTTATTTCTAATATATAATAAAACTGGTCACTTGCCAGGATGCTATCAATCGATATCACTAATTACACGTAATTTGTCTAAAGAGACATCACAATGATCAATTCGTATTACTTACCATAAGTATTTCTCGTACAGTTTCTTTGGATGGTTTGGATTATTCAATAATTGTGACATTATTGTAATAACATGTGTTCACATCAGCGAAAACTGCAAACATTTATATGTATACAAACTAAAGTAGAAAGAAACCACGTGGTATTTTCTCTGCTGCATGTAGAAAACATTGAATCGTATACGTCATGATTATGCGTTTCTCGGTAACACTAAATAATTCGGCTGCATGGCCTAAGATTTAAATTCCGTTTTCGGGAGGTAACAAAGCGTACTAAAATACAGGGGTCGAGGGGTTTGACAAGTTCTCACACGAAACATATCAGATAAGCGGATACAGCGGACGTCAGTAAATTCTGACATGAATTAAAAATGTACCTATATGTAAGTTCCTACACTAACTGAAATAAATCAATATGAAGAAATAATAATAATAAATTAATATTATGCAACACCAGAGTTTCACGACCAAAATAACTATAGACGGATGTATTTTGCAAAAATGCCAAAAGTACATATTTTTCGTTTATATAGAATCCGAGTATTTCCGATAAATTAGAATCATACAATTATAAATAATTAATCAATGATATCTTTTCAATAGAACAGTTACGGGGATGCCGTTTCCATTTGGTCCAATCTTGGTACCGTAAAATTCAAAGCTTAGATTTTACTCAAGAATTTATTTAATGTTAAAAATGATAAATTAGGAAGCGGCTAGTACATATATTTGGTTTACCCTTTCTCAATCTAATAGAAGTTTTAGGAATTGTTTTGTAGATAGTTTAATGGATGAAAAACCAGAAAATAATAAAACAAACGAATTCCGCGATTATTTAGTGTTAAATTGATTATTATATGACATCGAGATTAATAGTTCGTTCCACCCTACCTAGTGATCGGGCTATAGTAGTAGTTCTGGTTAAATTGTCAGCCGTAAGTCTGAATAAAATTATTATTCGTTATAATTTTTATTCATGTAGGAATTGATATGATATAGGTGTATTTTATTCATGTCGGAACTTACGCACAAGTTTATTTTAGATTGCGTAGCGATTTTTGTAAACGACTTTTCTACCAGCTCTTGCTCAAGTGTAGCACCTTTTCTGAAAATTAATTTTACATAGTTCAATAGTTGATGCATTGGAGGTTATTTTTAAATTTTCCAAGTGGTTTTCATAATAATTGAGAAAAACCGTAAAAAGACGAAAAATTAAACTTTATGACAAATTTACGGCGTTACGATTTTAAATTTAAAGGTTATATTTTTCTACCAGAAAATTTTATCCAAATTTTCAGAATAACATATTTCCTAAAAGATAATTTTGTTTAGTTTGTGAGTAAGGAAGTCGTTTGATTTTCCGTATAATTGTCCTAATAATTACGAAAAATCGGGAACAAACCGTAGAAAATATGGTAAAGTGTATGGCATTCGGGTTTTTTGTTGTTATTCGGTTAAAATTTATTGTAGAGACTTATAATACTTATAAATACTCATATTAGCCTTTTATTGACGCGGTAAAAATTTCAAAACATTCTAATTATTTTTAGGCAACTTGTATGTATTTTTATTTGGTAAGTATGTCTGTATATCTGTTATTAAAATTGTATAACTTAAGAGAAATGTTTTAAAATTCAACAAAAGGTATATTGTACTTAGAGGTCTAAAAGACAAATTTGAATTTAATGCATTCGCTTATTTTTTATAAGCGTTTTAAGATTAAATTTTAACTTTTAAAATATGTACCTATATAATCGAATTTTGCTCCTAATCCTATCTTCCCAACTTCCCACCAACAACAGTGGCATATGCGTTCCCAGCATCAGATTTTTTTTCTTGTCGGAACTTACGTTTATACATACGTAAGTTCCCACATGGGTTCCTATACTCATGGATGATTTTTACCTGCTATATCTTATGTGAGAACTTTCATTCTTTTGAAATATAAAGGACACTTATAAGGATAAATTTCAGTTTTTTTTAACCTTTTCGGTGCGCGTATTCGAAATACAAATTACTTTTTACAATACAACAAGTACTCGTATCATTAACACTAGATTCGAATAGTCTTATTATTTTTTTTTTTCAATCAACTTTGACAATTTTTGACTGTGTGTTTATTTTTTAAAATATTTTGATATTATAACTAATTAGTTCTTGCGTGTTTGTAGTTATTAGTTTTCTCTAGATGACATATTTTTAAACAGAGTGATGCACTCACCATAGGAAGGTTAAGGAATGGTAAGGAAGGTTATGGATTTATCATCTAAAAATATACATGAAATGTATTAGCTTTTCTTACTTCTCTTGTCTATAGATTTTAAATTGTTGTAAGTTTATAACTCCTAAACGTTAAGTTCAATATTATTACTGTTATACATACCAAAACTTATAAAAAATTTAGTATCTATTCGATTCTCTGTTCATTGTGAGTTATGTACTCAATTACTCATAATGTTAAGTTTAAGGAGTAGAGTTAAACAATTAGAAATAGCTTTAAAATAAAATCATTATATAATGGTTGAAAAAATCAGAAATAAAATGCACCTAAAATCACTGAAAAAATGACTAGTTCAGAATAATTGGACCACTCTATTCTCACTTATGTTTTTGGTTTATTCTGTTCTCGGTAGCTTGTGGTCGTTTAAGATCAACGCAAAGTAAAATATAGAGCTGGCCCCTATTAAGCTAAACTTTGTTCGGTAACATGTGGTCTTTCAGACAGTGAAATCTAGAGTAGGTATTGATGTATTATAGTTGTCGTCTACGCCGTTTTGTACAAAGGTTTAAACTTTTGAAAACTATAAGCTGTGCGCTCAGCATACTGTTGTCTTTTCATTTCGAGGAGTATGTAACCCTCTGTAGGCTAATCTGTTGTTAACCGTTAATTTCGACGAAGGTCTCGGGAGTCTATTTTATGTTTAGTGCCGTAAAAGTAAAATAATGACCGGATTAATGTGGCGAACTTGTATTGTTCAAAGATTATTTTACTTTTTAAGCTGTAAAATAAATACATTTTAAAAGTATTTTTATAGTACATTTTTTTAGATTTTTGATTTTTTTAAAGCATAATTAAATCAATCTTATTTTTGCACGGCTTTATAGTGCAGTTTTTTTCTTTGTAATGTACTATATACTTCTTAATACACCTATGAAAATGGTTATATAATAAAACCCAAATAGATTGTGTACCATAATCTAAAACACCAGATCATTTATAAGAACAATATTAAAACTATGGTATTAACAAAAAACAACGGATTTTTGATAAATACGTTTTTATTCACATAATAATATAAATATATACGTAATGTATACGTACATAATAATATTATACAGAGTATTAAAACATTGTCAAAAACTATAATATATATTTTTTATAAAGGCAAAAAGTGATAATATTAAAAAAAAACCGAGCAATTTTATTGTAAAATTAAAAAAAAAATCACCTAAATTCGTTCACAAAATATTCTTATATAAATATAAAAATTAGGTATTGTTTTTTTTTTATTTGTTTTTAATTATAATAATATGATAATGTATATTTTCATATTCATTCCGAATACAATAAGTAAACTATATACGGAATATTAAAAAAAACAAAAACATTATAATATGAAATTTTGTGTATGATGAGTAAACAACAAAAACAAATACACTGGATTTTTTTTCCTGTTTAAACAAACAAACGTTGAGTTAGGTATAATAATATAATATCATATGTTGTTAGCTACTGCAAGCAGTAGTGTATATTGTTGTTGATTTAAAAAAAAAAAAATAAAAATACAAGTCAACGTAAAAACAATAATACAAGATGAATTTATATACGTAATATCTCCGATAAATCACAAAAAAAAAAAAAAAAAAAAAAATACTTATATAATATAAATATATTTATATATATATAGGTACCCACCGAAGAAATAAATATATTAATAGTCGATAGATTTCTCTTAAAAAATATATAATAATATCTACGGAAGAAAGCTATACAAGAATATAATAACAAAATAAACGCTCTAAAATAATATATTGATCACAATATGCACAACCGTTACAAACTAAACAAATTTCTTTGGCATTACTGTCTTACAGTTATACGCTATAATAATAATAATATTAATAATATTGTCATAATAAAATAATAACTTTATATATTTCAATATACGCGGTAAAAATGATAAAGCGGAATCGGTGTTTGGTCTAATACCATTATAATATTATACAATGTAATATTACACATGAATACATGTGTGATACCTAGTAGACAGGCGTAGGTATAGATTTTTGTACAGCCGGTGGGTAGGTGGTGGGGGGGGACTGTACTGATTATCAATTATTTGTAATAGGAGTGACTTGGGATTGGAAATCTGGACTTGAACTACTGCAGTCGTTTCGAAATGGAGGAGGGGTTAAATCTCACTACCCTTGCCTATACAATTGCTATATACACAGGTACAATATATTAACGTATAAAGAAATATGACGGGGTTTTGCTTCCACTATACGGCCGGTTAAAAGAAAGAAAAAACATTTTATAATGTCGTATAATTGTCATTTTCTTGTAGAAAATCAGTCGAGTTTAACTACAATAATATAATAATTTATTATTATTGTATTATTTTACAGATGCTACGTATATTATTGTGTATAGTATAGTAATATATTAACGTTATAAAAAAATCTCGGCACAAAATGTATTTTTTTACTACCTATAACTATATATTACAATATAATTAACTATTATGTAATTATTATTATAATATACGCAGTGATGTATATTCGTATAAAATAAGAATATAATTTATTTTTTTTTTTTCATTCTAAACAAATCGAAAGTATATGTTATTATAATATTGAAAAACATTGTTGGCGATTAATTTTTTACCAAAACGATTATAATATTATATACCTATCTATAATGTATACCCATCAAATCACTAATTACGCTATTAACAATTATACAATAATAATGTATAATAGGCATTAAATAAAGCAAAAAAAAAAAAAAAAATTGTTCTTATTATAAAACTTATTTTTTATAAATCGATATTTTATACAATTTTATTACACAATATTTAAGAGAAGGGGTGGGGGGTTTAGCACAATTTCAAGCACCTAGAAAATTAATTTTTCTTTTTTACGCGTTTTTGTTTAGTTGTATAATATATGGTTATTTATACTAAATATCCTAACCTAAATTAAACTTAAAATAAAAATATTGCAATACGATATACGCTACCACAATCTGCAAAATGACATCGCGAATTTCAAAACCGAAATTTAAAATTTAAAAACATTTATATGGATAAGTAAATAGTCGATTTTAGATTGTCGTTTATTTTTGTCTCGTACACTATAGTAATCTAAATTATATTTTTAGGAACGTTCTTTCGACTCAAAGACCGAATTCTATATTAACATGGTATTACATGTTAATACATAGTATTATCTTTGGTTAACTATAATAAATAAAGCAAATCAAATTTTTTTTCTTTTCATTTATTACAATTTATTTTGATATGCCAAGACTACGTATACAAATAAATTACAAGGAACTATAATATTATAGAAAGTAATTATTGAAAAAAAAACTGTTTGATCATCATTTATTTATTTATCAGAGAATTATTTACATTTTCGACGACCTTTACCATGAGAACAATTTGTTTTACAACACATTGGAACTTCGAGCTGTACGGGACACTATGTGCTCTAAAGCACACTGTTTTAGATCTCACTACAGAACGTCTGGAAACTGTAAGATGGGGTTAATATAAAAAAAAAAAAAAATACATAAATTTTACTATTTTAAGATGTCTTAAAAGTAGGCGTGTTTACGGAAGGGGCAGGGTGGGCCGCTGCCCCTCCGATGAGATTATCCGCCAAAATATGTTTTTAAATTTCAATATATAATTCAAAATACCAATTATCAAAGTCAGACCAAGATTATAAGTGATATTGGTTCAATAATTGAGTAATACAATTTTTTTTAGTTTATTAGATGTTTATGTGTTCAGATTTTTAGTGAAGATCCCTAACCACGAAAGTCTAAACACATCAATGATGACACCCTCTTTAAATGTGACGCCCGAGGTCAATTTCCCCCCCCCTTTAAATACGTCACTATATGTGCCTAAATATAATGAAACATTAAAATTATAACTGCGTTTACGTAACGGGAGCAATAATAATAATATAGTGATATTGATTCGCTTTTGAAATTCACGATATACGAACTGTCCACACACCAAATAATTACAAATGTTTTTATCGACTCATTTGTTTAAATTATAATATATTATTGTACAATATATCTTATGTTATTAAGAAGACGTTATACCCGCCTGCAGCACTGTCTCCGCGCGACAGAGCAAATGTTCGCTGTCCAGGAACAATTTTGTGCTGTTATAGTAAAACTAGAGTGAATTGACTTATTAAAATTACAAAAAAAAAAAAAAAAACTGACAAAACGGGACACATCTTATCTTATCTCTGTTCTTATCTTCAAGTTTGATAATAGGCCGATACATTCTAGTATTGTTGAACTAACAGAGTTTTCCCTGCCGAATGAAAATTGTCTGTGTCGCGCGGTTTGTAAGACGGAGACAGCGCACGCGGGTATTAATATACGTCCTCTTAATGACATGATGTAACAGGTGTTAGCGTTGCCTAAATTTGCACGCCAACGATAATTATTGTTATGCGTCATTTCAATACAATTATGACTTTTGGGGAGGAATCCGCTTATTGTTTCGACCAATCATGCATGATGGACAGAGAAAAAAAAAACTCTTACACTACCAATGGGTACAATAGGTACGCGCGCATACCTATAGCGATAGTAGAAAAATAATAAAAAGGAACCGACACGCGAATATGATGTGCAACAACGATAATTACCTATTTAAAGAAAAAAAAAAAAAATAATAATAATAATAATAAATACTTATCGATTACGAGTACAATATAATAATATTTCAACTATGTAATTATTATAATTATTACCTATCCCGCAATACAAGTTTATAATTTGACATAATATCCGTTCGCGAAAATATGATTATAATAATATACGATGGTATTTTAAGAAGGACAAAACTATACATGCGAACAAATATCGGTATTTGATACGTTTCGAGGTGTTTTTTTTTTTCTGCGAAAATTAATAAATCTATCGAAAAAAATATAGTAATTTCAGTAGTACCCCAATACTATTAGTATTTTAATCGGAAATCCGATGTGTGCGTGTGCCAATACAACTATAATTATACCGTATATATACATATACAATTTGAAAAATGCAAGAAAAAATTAATAATCGTATCGGACATTAACGTGCAAAAAGTATTCCCAATATTTTCAACTTATTATTGTTATTATGAAATACTTTATCATAGTAATATTTATTTATTTATTTTTTTTTATTTTTTTTTTTTATTTTTTCTGTCGTCGATGTTGTCTTTGGTCCGAATCACCGCACTTACCTATGCCGCGGCCGTTATTATCATTGATATTCTTTGATATTCGAATGTTGGCTCCACGGGACGTCGGCAACAGCCGGCTGTAGCCTACCGTGCGTATGAGGCGCGGCCCGCATAATTTCGTCGGTGGTCTGAATATGATTCCTGGGCCCCGACTCCGGCGTGTACGTAAACGTCAGCCCCGTGGCGTAGATTATCCCGTCGTTTCTCACTAGAGACACCGGCACTTGCGTCGGTTGTCTGACCCACAGCCAATCGCCCCTGAACGACGATATGTCCGGCACGACGGCCAACATGCTCTCCTGACACCGGTACATGGTTTCGGATTCGACGTCGCCGAACCACACTTGGAGATGGGGCGTGAAATTTTCCCCGGTCAATTCCAACATCGCCACGTCCCCGCCCCCGTTCAGATTCAAACTGTGCACCACCGGTACGGGCGTTATCGGCGAGTTGACCGGGCCCATGCCCTCGAAAAACTGATACTCGGCCTTGTCCGTGCTAATGATCGTCCAGCAGGCGCCGTCGTTGATCATTTCTTTGTTGGGTTCCTTGGGACAGGGCGTTGCTTGGAACTGAATGATGCGTTCCTGGGACAGACACAGATACATGTGTTCCGTGTCTTTCATGTAAAATGCGCACTTGTGAAGTTGCGACACCGGGTCGTCGGCTTCCAGGAGCGCCATTTGCTTGTCGACCTTTCTGATGATGAGTCGAGGCAGCGCCATGCCGGTGACACTGCACACTAGTTTTACGGTGCTGCCGTAATGCACATATCCGTCGCGGACGTTGAATTCTTCGCTCTCGCTCTCGTCGTCGTCCAACAAATGAATAGTAAACGCACCCCATTGCGTCGAGCTGGCGTGAAAGTTCCCCTTTTCCACGTGCAAGTACCGCGTGCTAACGGTCTGGGACCGTAGCCTATTGAACAGCGCTACTTTCGTCCCGCTCGCAATACACAAATCGGCATTTTTCAACGATTGTTTTTTCTTCGACGGTTTCGATATCACTTTGATTCTTTTACTGTGGAACGTCCCGATGTCGTAACCGATATTATAAAACATTCGGACCATCAACATGAAGTGCTTCCGTTTGTCCGAATCCGAAATGAACAACGTTTTGGCGGCGCAGTATTGTTTGCCGTTGTTGAGGTCGAGTGGCTGCAGTTCTTGGTCGGTGCTTCCGATGCCGATGAACGCGCTCATCTGAGAGTTGGCTTCGGACACACCTTCTCTCAGCAGCTGTTCTTGCCGAAGTCGCCAGCCATCGCCGAATAAATAAATACACGGCGGTGGGCAAAAGAACCGTTTTTCGTTGCCATACGACTTTTGAGCTACTTTGGCGTGTAGGATGACCAACACTAAATCGTTACGATCCCGCAGATACCTCTCCATTGCGTCTCTGGTGAGACGTTGCTCTGGTCGAAATTGCATCGGTGTTTCCGGACCATAGTGATGAGGCATCCTTGCCGGCACCCCGAGAAGTTCCGTAGAGTTATAGCAGCTTAAAGAACCAACCACTTCTCCGTCATCCGCATCGCCATCTTTCTCGGATTTGAGCGTCCAGGTTCCCATAAATCTAAAGGTAATCAACAATACTATTATGTTTTATTATACAAATACAAATAACATACAATTTATTCACGGTTCAAAAAAGTGTAAAAATACGTATTTTTTTTAAACAGCGTATTCAATAATATGCAATATAGTTTGCTAAAATACAATCAGCGCCTATAAATTAACAAAAAATGTTAGAATTATTTAGATTTACAGATATTATGTATTTTATGGCCTAAACGATTATTAGCCTAACTAAATTAAAAATAAACAAGCGACTATAAAATTGTACACTACCGTTATTTTTTGTCACCCTAATGGGAAACTACTACGCTCATTTGGTTTTTAAATGGTATCGTGTCATTACAACAGCAAACGTTAATAAAACTATTAGGTATTCTTTAAAAATAATTTGTAGCGGTTTTACCATCAAACATAAGGATGTCGAAAAATTTAAAAAAGAGTTGATACTGCTGATGGCGGTTGCGCCGAGGGATAGGTGGGAAGTTGGAAAGGTAGTATTTATAAAGTTAGGCAATTCATGTATGTAAGTAACAATAAATAATCGCTAACAAAAAATGATTCCATGTGAAGTTCTTTTATACATGGTTTGAAAGTATCGTAAATATTTACGATTTTTATCAAAAATTTAATCTTTTGAAAATTATAAAAAAAATGATTATATTACACTTTACTTTTTTTTTTTTTACCACTAAGTACAAATTAAAATGAACCTCGTGTTAGATGTTCAAGCATTTATGTTTAAACAAACAATTTTATCCTCACAGTATTTGTCAAAGAAAATAATTACGTAAAAATATTAGAAAATGTAATCGGCCTATTACTAACTTTCAGAATATTTTGTGAATTTTACCACGCCTATAGAACGCGAATATAATTTTCCTGTAAACATTTCAAGAATCTACGAATATTTTTATCCGAATTCCAACAAAAAACAAAATTTAAAATAATGAAACCATTATCTATGGTTTTTTCGGGTTTTTCTCAATTATTAAGAAAATTATACAAAAAAATTAAAACACGAATTTCTTATATTCATAAACTATAATTAAATTGCAATAAAATATATCCTTGATAATTTTGTTGTTTTTCGTTTGGAACAAGATTTTTGGCAGAAAAATTTCTCACATACACGAAAAATAAAAATACAAAATACAAACAAAATAACAAATCATAGACCAACCAATAGATCTCTCATTCCGTTTCGAATCCAAAAAAAGGATAATTTAAAATTTTAATGTGAAATAAACGAAACTTGAAAATTTCAAATAACTATGAATAAAACTCGAAATTCAACAGAATACTTTCCTGAGTTTTCTTCTTTTTTTTGTTTTATCATATTATTAAAAATACTACGAGGAAAATCAAAAAAATACTATAGGCCTATTAGATAAATTTTCTTTAAAAAAAAAAAAATGCTACGCTTGATGACCGGAGCAAGATTTCTGTCAAAGAAGCTTATTTACAGGTAGAAAAGAATCAAAAATCACAGTAAAATGAATATATTTCCTTGCTACGCTCGGAATCCAAAAATCGTTTGCGAAATATAAAGGAATCTGAAGGAAAAAAAACATCCATAATATATGTACATGAAACATACAGTTAATGTTGAAAGTTGGGTAATGTAAACTTATCGTTCAGTTGAACCGATATTGTACCGTCAGTTTTAATATCAGAGTGAATTGGTTTATTATTACTCTTAAAGGTAAAAACCAGTGGCGGCTTTCCAACATTTTTTCTGGGAGGAGTCCTGAAAAATGATCTGTTATGATATAATAGTTATCTCTATTTTAAATGACATTTTATTAGTGCCTTGGAAGGGTCCAAACCTCCTTTGTCCTTCATTCCCCCGTAAATCCATATATCCGCCACTGGTAAACTCATATTTCGCTTGGAAATTAAAATATCGATAAAAAAAAAAAAAGTTGTTCTATAGGATAATGGGGACGGGTGCAGCCACTGTTGTAGGTGAGAAACTCAGAAGGTACAGAGAAGAATTTAATGTATATCTGTAAGCAACGATAAACCATCGGTAATGAAAAAACGATTCAGAACGATAGTCGAGTGGTGATGCTTTGTCAACAACATGCATGTCATATTACGGTAAAATAATTAAATAGATATTATATATTTTCTTGAATAATATTTGTTTAATATTGTACCGATTTTCCCGGTTTTTCACATTTTTTAGGAACTCTTGGGAAAATCGAAAAATGACTTCCTTAAAGTACCTTCCCAGTCAGATTTATTTTCAGAAAAATTGCTATCATTCTAAATTGGAGCAAAATTGCTGGTAGAATAGTTGCTCACAGGAAAATAGAAGGCCGTAGTATTTTTTTAACTAATACCTATACATTTCATACATTTTCCGNTATTATATATTTTCTTGAATAATATTTGTTTAATATTGTACCGATTTTCCCGGTTTTTCACATTTTCTAGGAAAATTCTTAGGAAAATTTGTAAAATGACCTTCTTATATATTACCATCCCGAGAAAATTGTCCTCCAGAAACGGGTCTACGTCGCGTACACCGGAGTAACGCCGTGTTCACGAAAAAAAATTTAAAAAAAAAAAAAATCTTTATAAAACTAATACATTCATCATCCATACACTCGGAATCTAAAAAAAAAAAAAAAAAAAAAAACCCCGACCGACGAACGAACGTGGAAAAAGGTTTTGCCTTTGAACCGGACGGTAGGCCAATCCCTTCTGGCATTAAAACTACAAAATCGGGACGGAAAGTTGCGACGTTAGCCGTGCGTGGTCCGCAGCGTATACACGTGTACCGCGGTCGGCCCCGGAAAATACGTTGCGTAAATACAACGTCCGCGTACACGTACGACGGCCAGTTATTTGTGCGTGGCGCAAGTTTAAACCCAGACTATTTTCCGACCGCGGCGTGTTTAATCGATGATGTTATTGTTATTTTTTTTTTTTTTCCTGATTCGCAACGTGACCGAGTATACATATACAGTAAGCACACAACACGGTATTACTATATATAAACACACATTGTACTGTGTAACGGCGACTACTCATCCGTCACTGTGCGGCACCCTCCGCGCGTTATTAAAAGCACGTCTGTACGTGTATAAATGCGTTACACAATATTATCAAGAGCGGTACAAATTAAATGCGCGCCGGGGCAGAATATTCAATTAATATATTACAACTCCCTACACAGCCGCTCCACAAAGGCCAATCTCCTGTTTTAAGTGCACCGAACGGACCCCACGTAATATTATTTTTATTGTATCGCGCGTACGCGACGTATGTTACGCACCGTGGTGTAACTGTAGGCTAGCTGCAGCGCACAAATGATAATGTCTCGAAACAAAACCGACGCGACGGTGCGTCATCGCGGTGTGCACCGCATGCGACCGCCGCTAAGACCTGCGGTAATAATAAGGGTCGCGAAAAACAGTAATACCGCGTGTAAATAGCGTACAGATACGTAAGTATTGCATTCGCGTAATAATAGATAACTGTTCGATATTCATTATTTGAAGCTGTGGGATTCGAATAAACTGTTTTTTTTTTTTTTTTTTTTTTCCCCCCCGTATTTCAGGCATTTTTATTATTATTCATTGATTACGTCGGTAGGTACGTTCTAATGAACCTATATTACGAATATATCAACACGTTAAAGGAATAATGACAATTGCTGTTGTTTTTTTTTTTTTTATAAAACTTTTGATATTTAATGATTGTGAAACGTGTAAATTGAAATTATACGCTACAATAATAGCTGAATAATTTCCCCGGGCCCAATTCATTCAATAACAGAAACCGAAAAAAGAAATTCAATTTAACGTGTCTACCCCCCGTTGCCATCTTTATCCACATTACAGTTAATCGTTGTTGCCTGGTAATTTATCTTTTAAAAGGGCTGCTTCTTTTCTGGGACAATCAAATTAAATAATAATAACTGTTTTCTTTTTTCGTCATCGAGGTAACACATAAATCAAAAAAAAATCAAAAAAAATATATACAATTTTCATTTAAAAAAAAAACCAAAAACGCTATGCCGGCCAATGGCGGTAGCTAGGCCAAGCGGATTTCAAATGTCCCAATGGCCGTGTTAAGAAAAAACAAAAAATAATTATGTATAATATGTATACATATTATAATATCAAATCAAGTTCGATTTATGTTGATTTTTCAACTTGACATTCAAAATTACAGGAAGATCGTCTACTTTTTAATCTCAAAATTCAACCCCTAAAGAATGGCTGACAGTAGATTTCTGTTCTGTTCTGTTCTGAACGAAAATTGAAATTTTTTTATCGATTTATGAGTCATCAATCGTTATAAATAATAATATTGATTTCGTTTTATAATTTCGCGCAAAAAGTTAAATGACAGTTTCAATTCGTAAAATATTGGTAATATTATAAAAGATCAATTAAAAAAAAAAAAAAAACCGTGCATAAACTGTCTTAAATAGACTTAAAAAATAGTATTTTTTTTCTCGAAAACGTGCGGTGCAAAATTATTATTGATTCAATGGTTATACACGAGTAATATTATATATTTTAAGTTTATGTAAACGAACAGAAAGTCTATATGCATTAAATTCCTATTTCGATAATTCTTATCAATGTTATTAACATAATAATATACATACGTATACTCGTTTACTTATATTGACTATTCGTCATTCGCAAACGGTCAGGCTAGACAAATATAAAACTATTCCAAATATTTTGTATAATATGCACGAAAATCGAATAAAACTATTTTATTTTGTTATAAATTTCTAACTCGATACATTTTATCAATCAATTGCAGTGTTTCCCAATCTTTTAGACACTGTACGCACCACTCAGGAAACTTATGATTGGTCACAGACTAATTAAAAATGTATGTGGGAAAAACTTCGAAGTGGATTAGTACTATGTGTTTACTGAAAATCGAGGGGTGTTCCCGAGAACTAACCAACTAAGCTTTCAGGAAACCCATCGTAGAGGCTTTCAAACACTTGCAAAATGTTTTTCTTTCGTGCACATATTTTTGTGTGTAAAAATATGTTACGCTAATATAATTCAAAAATAAATGCCACTCCTTTCCCAACGAAAAAAAAAATTGATCCTACATTATGTGTTTCAGTAGAAATAAAGTAAAACAGAATTTGATTATGTGTATTCCAATTGGTATATTAGAGAATTGATTGTTATAGAAATAATTTGAGTTTTTAAAATTGCATTAAAATAATACCTCAGTAACAGTATAACTATAAAGCGTCCCTCTAGACATCGAAATCTTAAACTAAACAGGACGGATAATTTTATCTTTAATAAGTATGAAGGGACTCCTTCCCCACTTTAGCCACTGTTGGACATACAACATAGTGGACAAAACAGATAAATAATGTTAGCGAACATAACAACGATATACCACCGGCTGTTATCTAGTATACAGGGTTACTCACTAAGCGTGCTCACCCCATTTGTTTGGTTAAATTTTGCATGCATTCAATTTCTGATTTTTGGAATTTTTAAGCGTAGTTAAAGCCTATATTTTCGAATACTTAGATTTTTCACAAAATTGAAGTAGTATACTGTGGTAATACCGACTTAGGTTTTTCAAATGAGAATCTATATTAAAAATTCCATAAATGTATAGCCTATTACTTTCAGTAAATTTTGACAACAAAATTTTTGATTACCGTCTATCCGTTAGCGATATATTCCACTATTAAGTTTAAGTAGCGGGGTAATACACCATTTATTTATGGAATTTTTTAATATAGGTTCTCATTTGAAAAACTTAAGTCGGTATCATCACAGGATACTCCTTAAATGTCGTGAAAAACCTAAGTATTCGAAAATATCGGTTTTAACTACACTTAAAAATTCCAAGAATCAGAATTTTAATGTACGCAAAATTTAACTATAAAAATAAGGTGAGCGCATTTAGTGGATCACTCTGTATGTAATAGAAAAAAGTACTCTAAACGGAGTCGTCACGGGCCTTTTGTTTTTTTATAGATAAAAATGTTTTGACGCCCACAGACCATCGGTTAGGAACCACTGATCTATAGTTACTTATACTAAGTACTTATATACCACATATCTACATACTCGTATAATAGTTATTATCTACTCATCATTCAAACTTTTGGGCTAAATAAATAAAACTATTCAAATATAATATTAAAATAAAGTTATAATTTTTAACTAAACTTTAACCTTCGTGTAATAATACATAGAATATTTCTCAGCTAACCTTCGATTATAGTTACCTGCTATACTAAATGAAATCAATATTTTAAGGGGACCTCCCCTGTTTTTCGAATACGTTTTAAACCAACAAACAGTGGGAAATTAGCACACATCCCTATGTCCCACTGTAATTTTTAATGCACGTATGAATTTGTTGACAAATTTTCGAGGTCATTTAGGGAGTCGATTTTAAATTTTTAGTTTTAAAGACCACCTAAGTTAAGAAATAACAGCTTAACATTTTATGTAATAACAACAGTACATTTGTTTTCATTTTTGGACACGTCAAATTTTAAACCGAAAAATCGACTTTCTGAATTACCTCTGAAAATTTGTCAACAACTCCAAACACAAGTAATTTAGAAATTTAAATCAGATTTTGAGAAGTACCTATATCTAATGTTTCACCGAATTTTGTTCTAAAACGTCATATTTACCCATACCCCTTTTCCTTAAATGGATATCGGACAGTAATTGAATAAATGGAAAATTCTTATTGTTTACGGTAGTCATCATTTTCAAATTTTACGAAATTGGAGACAATTTGAAAAAAAAACGTTTTAAACCCCCTAATCGATGTATTCAAATATTTAATTGTACAATGCCCATATTCAAAATTGTACATAATTATAATATCAAAATATATTATTATGTAAAATCGTTTGAATAATATTATGTTGGATGAAAATTATAAGAATTTGGTATAGTCAAAAGCAAAAAGCCTAATAATATCAAAATATATTGATAATTTATTATTCATGTATAAATTGTGGGAGTTTTGTCTGTAGTTTATTCTCGAGATTTTATGTAGACAATTTCAAAGAAATTCGCACACCTTTATATTTAATAAAGTACGTACAGTAAAATGAGTGACGTTTGTAGATATTTCCACCTATCCGATTCAAGTTGAATAACGTATAAGTAAGTACATACTATGTACCTCACCTACGATTAAACGACTGACATAAATTAAATAGGGGGCGGTATACGTACGTCACCATATCATATATAAATAATATAATGGATATGATATGGATACGACGTAAAGTATGTAATAATAGGCTAGGATTTTATCGAATACTCATTGTATACATCGTAATATGACAGCGAGAACTATACATTTTAAACTTTACTTTTTTATATACTCGATAAACTTGAGAGTTTTGAAGTTGTTAAACTTATATACCTTATCCTGCAAGTACCTATACATAATATGTCATACATTTTATATAGACGTTCATAAAATATGCATTTAACGGACGTTGTAACTATATTTGGACTCGAAATTTCTGTAATTATAGTTTAACCATTTGTTACGTATCATAATTCAAATACAAATTTTAATAATTTTTATGTACATATTTGTTTGAAAGACAATAATATTCATTTTACAACTCAACAATAACAATGATAATACCTAATTTCAATAAATTGGTAAAACTAAAAAAAAATTAAAGGAACATTTCTGGTAGTATTTTTGATCTATTTGCAGTCACGGGTGGAAAATCGGGAGATATTTTTTGTGCATGTCTAGTGGGTGCCTGTTTTTTCAATAATATAAGGAAAATCTGACGACAAAAAATTGTATTTAAAGAAAACAAAGTCACTGATATTTATAGAAACTAAAGTTTGCAGTTATTTAATTATTAAAATCATTTTTATTATTCACTAGCTGTCATGTGCCCGTGTCCGTGCTAATTTGTGTTATTTTCTTTTACCCATATTCATTTTTGGTTTTGACCGTGTCAGAATTTAATGAAAACATTTAGGTGGAAAGTTGGCAGTCCACCTTTGTCGGACTGACTAAAAGTGATCTATTGTGAAATTTTAATAGTGTAAATAACAGTAATAATTATAATTATAACAGTTTTCTTATCCGTGACAACCAAATTATCATCAGTATCACCAAGGTAACCCTTGAACAAACAAAAATAAATAAATAAATAAGCAATTAGATATCCGTACCAAATACACCTAAAAATCCCTATTTTAACCCCTTAGGGATTGAAATTTCAAAAATACTTTTTTAGCGGATACCTACGTCATAATAGCTATCTGTGTGCCAAATTTCAGACCCATCCGTCCAATAGTTTGGGCTAGGCGATGATGAATCAGTCAGGATAAGTTATTTTATATATACAGAAGATCAGTGTCTGATATTTTTGATGAGTATACCACTATTTAAGGAGCAAAGTTGAAAGGAGGATTTATAGAGTAATTAAATTCATATATCTGTACGTAACGAGTAACCATTGCTAACAAAGAACGATTTTGAGCAGAGTATAATAAGTCGTATTTTTCGTTGCCAATGTAACACTGGGGCTTTTTGATAATTTCGGGGGGATTCAAACATCATCATACAATGAATCCGATATATCAAAGGGCACGTATATAGGGCATATTAGACCCAAGCGTCATAGTCTTATGAGACATTATAGTAAAATATCATTTTTTTTTTTTTTGAAATATCAGCTCCGTCCCACAATCAAAGGGAAAAAATATGAAAAAATCGTAAAACAGCGCGACAAATCGTATGCAGGGACAATATGATCAATGTTCGTGTTTTATATTATATTATTCGCTCCGTCGTCTTGGCATCGACAGCGAGTATTAATAACAACACATTTGTACGTATAGCCTTATTGTATAGTACGTAAGTACGTATAGCCGTATAGTACGTATAGCCGATTATATCGCTTGCCTTTGGCGCCGTTTTTGTCGGCATAGTGATGTGAAAATAATAATCACTGCAGTGCATAGCATACGGGTGCATAATATCGTGTACTTACATGGGAGGGGAGAGGGAGGGGAAATGCGTTTATTTTATTCCCTACAAATAAATAATATAATACACTATCATTTCGCCTTAACCCGTATTATTACGACGGCGATATTTCACTAATATTATAACTATAGCTAATAATATAATTTTTTTTTTTTTTTAATTTTTTCAAAAATTACCTCGAGTTTAGTCGCCGGTGTCTTGAACGGATGGGGGACAGGGGGAAAACGACGACGACGAGTTTAATAATCTACGTTAATTAGCGTTGTGAATCGTCGGCGTTCGAATTTTCGGTGACTTTGGATAATCGAACAACGTAAAATATTATTATCGAAAAGACAATTATTATAAATACGCGCGCGCGCGCGATGTATTTGATTATCGACCGGCGGAGAGAGGACGGCGTGAGCACGTAAGAGCGCACGACTGCAGAACGCGCGTGCTACGAACGACTGACGACTCCGGTGGCGCGTCAGGTACGACGGCGTATAGCAACAACAACAACAACAACAACAACAACAACAACAACAACAATAACAACGACGACGACCACGTCCACGACGGTAATGACGATTATGAAAAAATATTATTAATGTTATGGTATCCGCTCGTCGTCATCGTCCCCTTATTATATAAACCGAGCGAAATACTATTACTCCCACCGCGCGGCTACACGGAAAATAGCGTGGCCGCTAAAGGCTACGGCGACGGCGTCTCGGTGGTGATAGTGCGACACGGGCAACGACGACGACCGTGGACGATCGACTGACTGGGCGAAAACCCTGCGCGGAAGCCGGGGGGCCGGCGGGTCGGTGGGCGGGCGGGTGGGCGGCGTTGGAAAAACGCGTGATCCCCGGTTCCGCGCGCGCGAATATAATAATATTATAACGATATAATATAGAAGTGGTGGTGGCGGCGGCGGCGGTGGCGGTGTTATAAATGGGGTGGGACGAAGACCGGGGCGGAATGGGAACGGGAACGGGAAAAGAAAAAAAAAAATTAAAATTAAATAGAGGCAAAAAAAAAAAAATAGGGACCGCGCGCGACGGCGGCGGCGGTGGCCGCCGCCGTCGCCGCGGCGATATAGGCCCCGTCGCCACAAGTGTGGAATGTTCCCACGGATCCCATTGGTCTGTGCCGCGCCGCCGATGTTGCGCTCTCTCGCGAGTATATTATATTATATTATTTTCATGCGCGCGCGGTGTATATTCGACGAGTATAGTAGTAGTAGTAGTAGTATTATAGTAATAGTAGTAGTAGTAGTAGTAGTAGTACTATATAGTAGTAGTTGCTCCGGTTGCGCCGCCGCTTGTAAACCATTCATGCTTAAATCGACGCGGCGGTGGCGCTGTGTTTGTGTGTGTGTGTGAGTGTGTGTGAGTGTGCGAGCGCGCGCGCGCGCGCGCGTATACGCCGCGAACGGACGGACGGTCCCTCCTGCCCGCCCGCCCATCGCGGCCGTAGTACGACCGGCAACGACGACGACGGACCTTGCGGTCGGCCGTCCCGTCCCGTTACGGAGCCGACGTGGTGGTAGAGGCGAAGGGGAACCGATTTCAAGGCGAACTCGCCGGTTCCCACGGTGTGTTTGTGTATGTGTGTGTGTGTGTGTGTGTGTGAGTACAACACTGCAAAGACTGTGGGAACTAGCCGCTACCGACCGACGACGGCGGCTACGCGGCTACGGCGGCGACGGCGACGACGACGACGACGGCGATCTTTACTCCAATTGCCGCTGATGATGCACACGCTTACACTTCCTCCTACTCCTCCGCCCGTCGCCCGCCGTCCTTCCGCAATCCCGCAACTCGCCTTCTTCCTCCGCCTATTCCTCTTTTCCTACACCTACGCCGCCGCTTCCTCCCCGAGATTCTCGCCGTTTCGACTAGAATATTACATAGAACAATAATAATAATAATAATAATATTATTATAATAATTATTCTACCTACAATATATTAATGTAATATGTACACATTACGTACGTATTACACGGGCGCGTATCCGGCGCTCGCTTCCGCGGCGTACGTTTCTCGCACGCAATTATAACGGCGTGGTGCTGCAACCTGTCGATAATACGTATTATAATTGCGCGCCGTCCGAGAGACAGTACGATGCGTTGTAATACGTACACACGCACCGCAGTCCGACGAAAAATACAATGCGTGCGGCGGCGGCCGGTCAGCGGCAGGCCGGGCCTTTAATGCCGTGTAAGAGTAAAACCGTATTACGCGACATTTAATAATAATATACTGTTAATACGACAATTTCGCCGGTTTCGATTTTTATTCGAATTTCAATCATTTATTATTCGTCTGGGCCAGACTGGTGCGCCGAAGGATAATGTACAATACAGAGCCGTACTGAAATAATTCTCAACAGTATTTCTACTAGAAATCGAATACTTGTTTCACGTACTTTTATCGTTTCAGATTCTTGACGTACATGCTTGCTGCTTTTTTTTTTTTTTCATTTTTTTGCACGCAAATTTTTTACCAGAAATACCGTTCCATTTGAAACATGACTCGACATTTTTGTAACATTTTGGATCTATAGTTGGTATATTATAAGATGGTAATTTTTTTTTTTTTTTTTTTTTAATTCCGATAGCGGCTTTCATAACAATTGAGAAAAGCGGCGTTAACGCCGTTTCATTATTTTCAATTGTGTTTTTGTTGTAATTCGGTAGAAACCCGAAATTTGCACGAATACTTATGTTGGACTTTTTCAGACACGGAGAAATTTTCAAAATATTGTTACGCTATTTTAAGACGGTTTTTTGTATCCGAACAGAAATGCTTGAAAATTTAATACGAAGTTTATTATAAATTATTCTTAAGAGGGGGAAAAAAAAAGAAAGTCGAGTGTAATTTTAGTAATTTTATTTTTTTTTTATAAGCGTTCAAATTTTGACGAAAATCATAGAAATGACGGCATTTAAAAACATACATAACTGAACATCGGTTTGAACATTCGTTTTTCGTTAGCAATGGCTTATCGTTACATATGCATATAAATTTAATATCTTTATGTATCCCACCTTCCCAACTTCCTACCTACAACAATGGCATGCCATTTCTCAGTATTACCTCTTTTAATAACATTTGTTTTCCATATTTTCAAATTAAAACGCATCGAATTACATTATACTGGAACGTCAAAATTAGGTTGAATAGGTTCAAAATGTTAACTTGAACTCGTACTAAATCAATAATCCTCAAAAACGAAAACCGAATCGAGGGGTGAGAGGGTAGTGCAAAGGTCGTATTTTAGATTACGCGTTTCCTATAATAGCTCTTCTTATTTTTGCCTACATTTATCACGCGATTCGTACCAGTGGCGTATTTACGGGGGGGGAAGATATATTTTCTCTTTCCCTTTTTTTTTAGTATTTATTATTAATATTACAACCTATTTTTAAATTATTAATATTGGTTATTATTACTTATATATTATGTATTTAAAAAAAAAAAACCAGAACATATATATTTTCTTATCCAAAACTGCACTATACAGTGGCGAAACTAGGAGAGGGGTTGTGACCCCTCCCCCCCCTCGATATATGTATGTGAGTTTTTTACGAATTCTATGTAGTTGTATTATTTCTATACAAATTTTAAACATAATGTTGTAACACAGTGTATGAATAAGTGATAATTATTATCATAAAGATTATTTTCTACACATAGAAAGCTAAAAACGTATATAAGAAACACTACAGGACAGCAGAAACTTAATGAAATAGCCACTTTAAACATACATACAGACATTGAAGTTAAACCAGATTCAGTGCTTTATGTTGGGGCACTCTACTCGAAGAATTAATCTTAGACTGTAAATTATTATTATTATACAGGGTGAGACGTTTAAGCCTTCAGGATGTTTTTTGGTAATAATTTTATAAAAAAAAAACACAAATTATTAATCGTTCGTATATTTTGGAAATTTGTTCTAATTACTTTTTAAAAACAATATCGCTTAAACGGTCGCCTTCAGAGTAAATGACATAATGTGATCGTTTTGCGGCATTTTCCATCACTTTTCAAAGTTTTTAAGGTTGAATGGGATTGTAAATAAACAAAATTGTTGGTCCTATGCCAATGAAAACCCTCAATTAGTCTACAAACAACCTCTTAACAATCAACGCGTGACTTTTTGGGCCAGAATTTTTGGGAAAACAATCGTTGGACCGTTCTTTTTCTAATGAGATGATTGTGCAGCCGTATTCATCAATGAAGAGCATTATCGGGCCATGACAACGGATATTTTGATTCCATTTCTGACTGGTAACGGCATGAACTACTGGTTCAACAAGACGGCGCCACAGCTCATACAGCTCGAGCCACGATCGCTTTATTGCGTCTGTTGTTCTTCGGACGCATAATTTCAAAAAATGGTGATTTCGACTCGTCTCCGCGATCACCTAACTTAACGCCTCCAGACTTTTTCTTGTGGTGTTATTTAAAGTCTAGATTTTATGTCAAGAAGCCCCGGATCCTAGAAGCGTTGAAAGATAATATATGACAGTAAATGGCCGCTATTCAGCCTGTTCAGCCTATTAAACATTTTGAAAAGTGATGAGAAATGCCGGAAAACGAGTACATTACGCCATTGGCTCTGAAAACGACATTTGAAAACATTGACGTGATATTATTTTTAAAAAGTAATTAGAACAAATTTCCGTGTCTAAAATAAACGAAAAATAATACAGAATTAATAATTTGTGTTTTTTTTTTTTTAATTACTACCAAAATGTATCCCGAAGGTTTAAATGACCCACCATTTACTTATGAGTAAAGTATATTTAATTACATAACTAATATAAGTCTAAATTGTTTTCCAATATGCGTTGTCTATAAATGAAAATTAACCAATTTAAAAATTTTACTCATAAACCTAATTATACTTTACCCCCTCCACCCCACCAACCACCTACCAATCATATTTGTAGTCAACGATACACCATTGCTATCGAAAAACGATATGGAGCGGAATCGGTAAGACATATTTTAAAATGCCGTAATATTTACGATTTTCGTCAAAATTTGATATTAAAACGCTTAGAAAAAAACTAATGCCTTAAACTCAAATTGGTTTTTAGACCACTAAGTACAAATTACAATGTACCTTGTGTTAAGTATTTTTCAAAGCATTTCTCAAATAAAAGTATGTATAAAAACACGAAAGTATCAGATACCATTAAATAGCTTAAATAAAGTTAGAATATTTTCAAAATTTTATCTTGTTTATAAAAGGTCAATATAAGTATTTTTCAAAAACTACAGATCTCTACAATAATTTTTAACCGAACAATAAAAAAAAAACTCAATGCCATACACTTTGCCGTATTTCCTACGATTTTCCCCGGTTTTTCGTAATTATTAGGAAAAAAATTCGGAAAATCAAAAAACAACTTTCTTACTCACAATCTAAACAAAATTTTCTTTTAGAAAATATGCTATTCTGGGAATTCGGAGAAAGATTTTTGGTAGAAAAATATAATTTTAATTAAAAGAGCTGATACTGGGAATGGAAGCGGACACTGTTGTAGGTGAGAAGTTGGAAAGGTTAAAAACCTTAAGTAGGAAAGGTAGGAAAGACCTAAGGTTATTTCATTTATATCTGTAAGCAACGATAAACCATTGCTTGACGAAAGACGATTCCAAGCGCAGTTCAGTAATACAAAAATTTGAAGTGCCGTAATTTCTTTTGCAATTTTCGTTTAAATTTAATTTCAAAACGCTTATTAAAAAACAA